AGCAAGGGGCCTTAGTAGATACCGGTTGCACCCGTTGTCTTTTACGAAGGGCGATAGCGGACAGTCTTGGACTTCGTGTAGTGAGGTTGCAGAAACCTATTTACTTTGAGCAAATGGATGGTTCAATGCTAGAAGGACAACCGGCTACCCATGTAACAGAGCCAGTGACACTTGAGATCGGGAATCATCAGGAAGTAGTATGGTTCGTGGTTGTAGAAAAAATGAACCCATCATTCTAGGCCTATCATGGTTAGATAAGTGGAAACCTATCATTTGGTGGGAAGGGGTTTTTCGCAAATTACGCTTGGCAGTAGGCCCTGATCCACCTGAAGACAGCAGAGATGTAGGAGCGACTGAAAGGGAGATGCCCTGTCTAGAAAAAGTCCCATACGTATACAGAGATCTATGGCGTGTGTTTAGCAAGAAGGAACGTGAGGCCCTTCCACCCCACCGTCCTACAGACTGTGCGATAGAGTTGAAACCAGGTGTTAGTCTACCTAAACCCCGCATGTATTCCATGACTCCCCTTGAATTAGAGGAATTGCGACGTTATATAGACCAGAACCTAGCCAGGGGTTTCATCTCGCCCAGTCATGCGCATATGGCAGTGCCAGTTCTGTTTAAGGAGAAGAAAGATGGAGGGCTAAGATTATGTGTTGATTGTCAGGGATTAAACGCTGTCTGTATGGAACCCCTTTATCCCTTACCTCTTATGATGGATTTGCCTTCCACTCTCACGACAGGGAAGATATTTACTAAGTTGGACCTCCGAGAAGCGTATTACAGGGTCTGGGTAAAAGCAGGTGATGAATGGAAGACCACATTTAACTGCCCTTTGGGCAGCTATAAATTCCGGGTCATGCCATTTGGTCTACAGGGGGCCCCTGCAATTTTTATGCAGTTTATCAATAGTATACTCTATGACCACCTGTATCGCGGAGTTCTCGTATATCTAGACGATATTCTGATATACTCCAATACCCTAGAAGAACACGTTCGTCTGGTACGGCAAATATTACTGAAGTTGTTGAAGGCTCAGTTGTATGTAAAGCTATCGAAATGCGAATTTCACAAGACAGAGATAGATTACTTGGGGTTTAGGATTTCAGAAAAAGGGATTGAAATGGACCCAAATAAGGTTAAGACAGTGTTGGAATGGCAGGCTCCAAAGTCCCGAAAACAGTTACAAAGTTTTCTGGGCTTTGCAAATTTTTATAGGAGATTTATCCCTTCATTTGCTAAGGTGGCTTTACCATTGACTGATCTCTTAAAGACAAGAAAAATTGCGGTTGGGAAAGGCAACCCACAACAAAAAATCAATTGGACGATATCATGTCAACATGCATTTGACACGTTGAAAGCCCTCTTCGCTAATGAACCCATACTAAGACATCCTAACACATCGAAACCCTTTGTAATACAGGCGGATGCAAGTGATATGGCAGTAGGGGGTGTTCTCCTACAAATAAATGAACATGGGGTTCTTCAACCATGCGCCTACACCTCCCGAAAACTAACCGATACAGAACGAAATTGGATGGTTTGGGAAAAAGAGGCGTATGCCATAAAATGGGCCTTGCAAACGTGGAGACATTTGTTAGAAGGGACTAAGGTAGAATCTGAGGTATGGATGGATCACAAAAATCTAGAGGCACTTCAGTCGCCTCGTAAACTGTCCCCGAAACAGGCACGTTGGGCGCAATATTTCCGCAGATTTACCATCAAGCTGAAAGCGATACCAGGGGGAAAGAACTATTTAGCTGATGCCCTATCGCACATGCCGCAATTTGAGAGCCAAAAAGAGGAGATAACACAAGCCTTAATACCTTATAAACAGACAGGAAAGCAAGGAAGGGATGTATTCCCGCTCCCCACAACCTGGGTAGTGGAGTTGAGGAAAAAATTAGCGACAGTTGGTTGAAGACCAAATCCCAGATAGTGACACAGAAAAGAGGACTAATGTGGAAAGGAGATAAATTATATATCCCCGAAGGATTGAGAGATAAGGTGTTACGACAATGCCACGATGTAAAAACAGCAGGGCATTTCGGTTTCGTGAAAATGTTGCATCTAGTGAGGAGACAGTTCTGGTGGCCACATATGTGAAAACAGGTAGAGACATATGTACAAGGCTGTCCCGTCTGTATAAGAGCTAAACCCTTGTCAGGGAAACCGTCTGGTTTATTACAGTCCGTGGCTGAACCACTGAGGCCTTGGGAAGATATAGCCATGGATTTCATAGTCGAATTGCCTCCCAGCAAAGGACACAATGTAATATGGACTATTATTGACCTGTTTTCCAAACAGGCGCATTTTGTCCCCTGTAAAGGACTACCGTCCGCACGGCGTCTAGCGAAACTATTTGTCCAACACGTATATCGACTTCCTGGCACACCCAAACGTATAATCTCAGACAGAGGTCCCCAATTTACCGCCCGGTTCTGGAGACATTTCCTAGGACAATTAGGAACAGAACAGGGATTGAGCTCTGTGTTCCATCCAAATACCAACGGAGCCGTTGAAAGAACCAATGCCATGGTAGAAAGGCATCTACGTTCTTATGTGTCATACCAACAAACAGACTGGTACGAACTCTTACCTTTCGCAGAATCAGCATATAATAACACCGTGCACAGCAGTACAAGTTATACACCCTTCCTAGTAGTTTCTGGAAAAGAGTTCCCGGCCATTCCCGATCTAGATTTACAAACGACTAGTTCCCATAGTCCAAAAGAATGGACAGAGAAGGTTAAACAGAGTTGGCCACACATCAAAAATGCATTAGAAAAAGCTTCTGAAGCGTACAAAACCCAAGTAAACAAACGGAGACGAGATAACCTACCCTTCAAAATAGGAGAAAAAGTGTATTTGTCCACAAAATATATCAATCTGCGTATGCCCAGTAAAAAATTAGGTCCAAAGTATATAGGCCCCTTTATCATCACCAAATAATAAATCCCGTAACAGTATCCTTACATCTACCCCCCTTACTGAAAAGAATACACTCAGTATTCCACAGTAGTCTCCTAAAACCAGCAAAATAAGAGAGACAGGAACACGTCCAGAACTCGTGGCAGGAAGCTCATACGAAATTAAAAAGATCCTCGATTCTAAGATATATCATGGGAAGCTTAGGTATTTAGTACATTGGAAGGGATACCCTATATCAGAAGCAAAATGGGTGAAAACGAAAGATATAGATGCTCCACGATTACTAAAACAATTTCATGAAACATATCCAAACAAACCAGGTGGACACTTTCCCACTTAATGAGAATAATCGAATGTTTTTATGTCCCTACAGGAAGAGACCTGGTGGGGGGGGGCGCATGTTGAGTGTCAGCCATTCCCTCGACACATGATCCCGGGGACTGTGACAAGTCAGAAGAACAGAGACACAGTGAAGGGGAGTGTTGTAGCGTTTAGCAGGGCACGGTGATATCAGGTGGTGGACGGTATAGGGAATCTGGGGACAGGGTCAATAAAACGATATCAAAGGAAACAAATGCCTTTCAATACGAGGGACAGTGAGATCTGGAAGTAACTGGAAATCCACAACGAACCTGAAGGAGTAAATAGCGCGATCACTTTAAATGCACAATTGAGCAAGGGCGGGGCACTTGGGGGCATTCTATAAAGCCAGATAAGCGGAGGAATTGGGCGTCTCCGACTTTGTTTTTCATCAGAAAACTTCAGCGCTTACTGTATGACCACCGTGTAAGCTACGATTAAACCGGATAGCTTCACCTTTGAGTGTGTGCGTGTGGTGTTTGTTCGGCGGAGCACAGGTGGTTCCAGAGGAGGCTGACACATTTATTCATGCATCTGCCTCTGAACTCTTCTATGCTCGAGTGTTTCTACGATCCCAACTCCACAAGAACATTTTACCATATGTGGTGGACGTGCCCCATTACAAGGAAATACTGGTGCAAAATCAAGAAATGGCTGAAAGAAATTATGGAACAAAAGAGAGAACGAAAACCGGAATTGTTTTTACTAGGAATATTAGATCCGAAAATGGATAAAAGTTTTCAATATATAACATTATACATACTAACTGTTGCTAGGATCGCCTTCGCGCAAAATTGGAAACAGACTAATACACCCTTCAGATGAAATACTAATCAGAAAGATACTTGAGTGTGCAAAAATGGACAAAATGACCGTGGAGTTAAAAGAAAAAGAATAATTGGATTATTATAAAGTTTGGAATAGAATGTATAAATGGCTAGAAAACAGAAGCCAAAACAAGAAATAGGAGTTTTAAATTAGTATTGATTAAATATTAACCAAAGTTACCAATTATTATTAAATTTAAATTACTGATTATAATGTAAGTATAATGTAGATATGAGTAACTAGTATTTATAATTGTTATTGTATCATTATGGTTGTTATAACCAATAGGAAGGCAATGTAGAAGGGTGAATTATAAAAACAGAACATATATGCTGATACGGAAGGCTGTAAAACGACTCTACATTGTTATGTTTGTCTTGTTTTTTCTGTTTTTCTGTTTTTGTTGTTTTTTGTTTTTAAAGGTGAAAAATGTTTAATAAAAACTATTTTTTTAAAAAAATTGATTTGAAATGCCTTCAAAAATACTAATATGTCTATGATTTATATAAAATGCTATCATATCTGTTTTAATGAATAGTATTTTACAATTGCTGCTTATTAGCAACCGTTAGTGCTTTAGGTCTTTTCTTTATATTTCAGATGTCAAATTTCACATACATGAGAATGATAATCCGTATATTATTGTACTTTATCATTTAAAAAGCATTGTAATCACTACTCAATGCATTATAATATACTTTTTTATGTAGATTTAGATAGTGGTGATAAAAAGCTTTCAAGAGCTAGAGCAAAAATTAAAAAGACAACTTTAAGATATATGTTTCAAATCTTAATGGAACCATTCTAAATTACTGGTAGTGATTTATTATGAAATATATATTTATTAGTATATATATAGTTTCATTTTCAACTTTCTACAGATTACAACGAAGCCGACAGTCAAGACTGAGCAAGTGGAAGCTAGCTTTGAAAGGCCACAGTTCATGAGTAACAGAAGTGTGACATCTGCTGTGTCCCCAAAACAGAACATGCTGACTTTTCAAAGGAGTCATAGAAGGTCATATGCATTATGGGTAAGCTATTAAATTTGAAAATACCTCTTTCAAATGCTTTTTGCAGTCTTACTTCTTCTCAGAAATCTTTGCAACTATACCGGGTTCATATTATCATATGTGGTGGTCATGTCCAGAAGCGAGAAAATACTGGGCAAGAATTAGAATATGGTTAGGGAAAATAATACAGCAATATATTGATTTAAAATTGTTCCTGTTGGGTATTTTTTCAGAGAAGTATAGTAAAGAATATATATATTTGATATACATGTTATAACGGCGGCAAGAATGATATTTGCACAAAAGTGGAAAGCAGAAAAAACTCCTACAAAGGGAAATATTGAAATGTGCAGAAATGAATAGGTTGACATTGGCAATTAAAGGGAAAACAGAATTGTAGTATTACAACATTTGGGGGAAATTTTATCAATGGATAGAAAGTGAGTATAGACAATAAACATGGTAAAGACAAGAACTTTGAGATGAATATGTTGTAGTATGTTAAAATTAAATGAAAAAAAGGAAAGATAAATATATATGTTAAGAAATGATGGTAAACTTTGAAGATGATGGCACAAAAGTTATACCCAGATGATACATAGATTGATTAATAAAGTACAGGAATATTAGAAGAGGAATAATTATAAAGTAAAAAAGAAATTTGAAATGAAGATGTATGTAAATAAAAATCGGGTCTGCTCGAATACCATTTTAGATTGAATTAAAAAAGGAAACAACAAGGGAATGGGAAAGAGGGGAGAAGTAGAGAGGGGAAGGTAGGGGAGTTGGGAGGTGAGAAGAGAAGAAAAGAAGAATGGAAAAAGGAGAGGAAGAAGGAAGGGGAAAGAAGAGTAGGAGAGAGGGGAAGAAGGGGAGGAAGAAGAGAGGAGAGGGGAAGAGGAGAGGAAATAGAAAAGGAAAGGAGAGGAGGAATGAGGAAAGTAGAAAGAAAAGAGAAGAAAGAAGGGAAGAGAAAAAGGAAAGGTAATAAAACAAAGGAAGGAAATGGTAAAAGAGCAGACCTGAAAAATTCATTAATTAGCTAATAGAAGTTAAATAATAAGATGAACGAACAATGTATAAGGATGGATAAAATATGTTGATGAAAAATAAAAATATTTTTTTTTTCAAAAAAATATCTTTGCAGCTGTGTGGATTCTGTCTTCACAATCACATAAGTACTAGGCAGTATAGGTACTTGACTTACGGCCGCAATTAAGCCCAGGATTTATGCTTGTTAAGTGAGTATAAATATATATTGTTAAATTTGTTAAGTGAGTTTTGCCCCATTTTACAATTTTTCTTACCACATTTGTTAAGTGAATCACTCCAGTTGTTAAATTAGTAACACAATGTTAAGTGAATCTTTTTCCTATTGACTTTGCTTTGTCAGAAGATTGCAAAATATGGTCACATAACCCCAGGATACTGCAAGGTCATAATTATGAATCAGTTGTCAAGCATCTGAATGTACATCATGTGACCACAGGGATGCTGCAATGGTCATAAGTGTGAAAAATGGTCATAAGTCTCTTTTTTCAGTGCCGTTGTAATTTTGAATGGTCACTAAATGAACTGTTGTAAGTCAAGGACTACCTGTAAAGGAAATCTATCAGAAATTTGGATGGATGATGGAGCTGAATATAAAGTTTTTAGAACAACATTCCAAATCCCTGATCTTTTTTGTATTTGCCTTCCTTAATGGACTATGCAGAACGTTAACTTTGTTGGTGCAGCAGACTAAAAATTGCTGTTAAAGTAGCACTTAGCTGCCAGCTGCCTGCAATTACTGCGAGTTCAATTCTCACCAGGCTCAAGGTTGACTCAGCCTTCCATCCTTTCGAGGTAGGTAAAATGAGGACCCGGTTTGTGGGGGCAATAAGATGATTTTGTATAAAATAGAACACCGCTCAGGGGGACCAAAAAGCCCTATTAAGCAGGTATATACAAAAGTATGAAGGATATTGCTTAATGCGTTGTAAGCCTCCCTGAGTCTCCAGAGAAGGGCAGCATATAAATCGAACTAATAAATAATAAATAAATAAATAAACTTTAATTTTTTATGCTTGCTTTATTCTGTTTGTTATCTGCCAAACCATCTTATTTTTTTCTCATGTTCTTAGTTTTAAATTTACTGTGCCATGTTTGGCCTAGAGATTATAGATAGCATACAAATGAGTAAGAATTATAATTTTGTTCTGCTGCCATCTGCTGATTTAGTTTGCCATTGGCACCAACAATTTAAAAAAAGGTTTGGTTTGGTTTGGTTTGGTTTGGTTTATTAAATTTGTATACCGCCCTTCTCCCGAAGAACTCAGGGTGATGAACAGCCAAGGTTAAAATACGTACAGTATAAAAATTAAAATAAATTAAAACAGAATTAAATCAATGTGGCTCCCCTAAATTTTAAAAACCCTTTACCCATAAAATAGCCCATTAAAATTTTAAGCCAGCCCGGCTTGCTGAAATAAGAATGAGAAAGAAGAATTTATGAATAAATAAAACTGTAGCTTTTTGTTTAATTTGGCAGATTTTAAAAAAATGTTTGCTGAAGATGTAAACAATCGATTTCTTTCCTTTAAAATAAGTTAAATATTTTATAATGCACCTGCAATAGGATCATTCCATGTGAAGTGGTCTGATTTCAGAAAAATGCCCTGCTCGACCATCATGGATTTGGATGAAATTTCTTGTGAATATGCACACATGTCCCCAATGAACATTGGTAAAGTGTTACATGTGCCGATGCAATACTTGTGGAGATATAGTCATTTGTGTGACCCCATACCACACCCTTCTACGGTATGACTCTTAGATTCCAGCAACTTTGACACATAATATCTCCGGCAATATTTTATTGAGAGAAACAAAACTTGCCCATCTTGTACAACTTTTTGTGCTCTATTAAACTAAACAATAAAAACATTCTCATGAGTGATCTCCATCTAGATAATTTGGAGCAAAGTTGGCCAAAAATAGTGCAGCTTGAAAAAAAGGTTGAAGTTTGGCTTTTTTATATCTCTGGAAAGAAAGGTATGAGAAACATGAAATTTTGTGCGTAAAAACTTAGCAACACAAGGTTTTTGAAATATAAAATTTCATTCTACTGCTTTCCAATTGTTTACAAATTGAGTGTAAAGTTAATGTTTTTTGTAAAAATGCCAAAAATAGGGTATTTTCAGCTTCTGGAAACTCTGTTAAATCATTCTCATTAGAAAGAGCATGTTTCAAACCCCCTAAAAAAGTAGGGTTGGTTTTTCGTTACTGACATATAAAACCCTAAAAATAGGGACAAATTTGAGGATGTTGCTATGGCAACATCACATGCATTCTATTATTCTTTTGTCTTGTTTGTTTTATATATAGACATCATTACAACTATTATATTGCATTGGTCCATGGTGACATTGTCACTACCAGTTCTGGCATGCCCCATCGCCATATGGGGCACGCCAGATAGCCATGCAATTCCAGCCATGGGTGGGTTTCTTGTTCAGGATCCAAGCCTGTAATTTGGTTTCTTCCTCGAAGTTCCAAAGCCTTGTGTGGGTATATGTCCAATTCCCAAGCCAACAATTGGGCAGCTTATCCTAGGTTCCCAAGCCTATAGTGGGTATCTTATATGGTTCCCAAGCCGAAGTCTGTACTGTTTGTATGAACTGCCAAATTCCAACGATTGCTTATTTATAATTGAATTTACGCACCACGTTCTTTAGCATTGTTTCTTGGAATTGATCATGGATGAAATCTAGCCGGTTCTATCCAGCTCAGGCGAACCAATAGCAGATCTATTGGTTGGCAAATCACCATGCAACGGAGTTGGTGGCACGACTAAACATTCGGCTGCTCGAGCCAGCCTCCAGTGACCATCAGCCGACAAAATACTGAGGCCAACCGATCTGTTCAACTTTTGTGACAGAAACATTCATGGAATTAAATATATATATGTTCCGAAGGAAGAAATCAAAGAAAGCAGGATGCTGCAAGAAGAAAGATGGAAAGTTAGTAGCACAGTAGCTAACACAAGAGATCATCACCAGTTTGTACCAGTTGATTCAAATTCAATTTCTGTCAGCAAAGTTTCAAATGACATGATAAACTTTGTGGCCAAAATGTCCAATACCGTAGATCCGAATTTAAAATTGGCCGACATATTTCCTGGTTGTTATGTTGCCTCATTTATAAAAACGGTGGGTAGGTAATGTCGTGGAAATTTCGATCGAACAAAATTTAATCAAAATCCGTGATAATCAAGCAGGGATTCCCAGACCACTTGACATGGAATGACCCAATAAACACATCCTTCATTATCCTAGTAGTTTTCCTAAATACTAGTTCTAATTTGTCATCATCCTTTTGAACTGGACAGAGTACTCTAAAATAGATTCAATTTCTATAATAGAACTTGCAGTATTGAAAAAAATGATTCTAATTTGCTGATGATGTCTGATAACTGCGCAAAAAGAAAAAATGATTTTTTAAAAATCATTTGACAATCAGCTGTTATGCCTTCCACTTATTTTAATGCTGGAATGTAGACCTCGGATGCCACCTACTGGTGAAAAAAGCTATTAAACTACTACATGGTGGGAAAAGACCTTGACAGTAAAAGAGGAGTGATAAGAGAAGAGAAGAGAAACAAAGAAGAAGAAAAAGGGAAACAAAGTGAAAGGCAAACAACATCTGGAAGGCCATCTTTTTTGAGGGGGGGGTGTTCTGTGTTTATTTGTTTTCTGGCTGTTTGAAAATAACTGGTGAACCTTTTGAAGATTCTTAAAAGAGTGAGGACTATAAACAATAAGAATTGTGGACTTCCGGTTTGCTGCTTGTCCCCGCTGGACACTCCTCCGGGATCGTCGAACCCACTGCCTGTAAGAGCCGCCTTTTTCAGCGGAATGGCGGCTCGAAAAAACTCCGTTTCCATTAGGAAACGGAGATAGAGCTGGCTGGGGTGGGTAGAGTCCTCTGCCTAATCCCAAAAGTTTTTTATTTACTTTTGGGAGGGAGCGGAAGAGACTCCC